CGACAAAACGGGCGCGTAAGCCAAGGCGCCCACGTGCCTCGCCATCCTGTCCGGCACACCTTTTGATGAATTGGGCACGCCTTTTGATAGCACGCCTTTTGACAGATTGGGCACACCTTTTGACTTTTGAGGGTGCAACCTTTTCAACGGTCCGACATGACCCCATAAACTGTCCCGACATTTGATTCCGGTTAGCCTTTTCAACGGTCCGACATGACCCCATAAACTGTCCCGACATTTGATTCCGGTTAGCCTCTACAACGGTCCGACATGACCCCATAAACTGTCCCGACATTGATTCCGGTTAGCCTTTTACAACGGTCCGACATGACCCCATAAACTGTCCCGACATTGATTCCGGTTAGCCTACAGTGTCCTCTACCACGTTATGACACCACCATCCAGTGTCCTCTACCACGTTATGGCACCACCTTTCAGTGTCTTCACCAACGGTCTGACACGACCATACCGTGTCTCCTATCTTTTTTTATTTTTATGTATTTTCTTGTTTTGTTCCTCTCTTCAAACTCAAGTTGGTTAGTTTCTATCCTCCTTGAGTTTGCGGGGGCTGTTAGAATTTACCATCACCTACCACACACTTACCATCACCTACCACACACTCACCTACTACACTCACCTACTCCTCACCTACCACCACCTAACCTACATCTATATAATCTATCAATTGTAACAGAATCATGTATCTATCAATAAATCAATAATACATAAATTACATAAATTCTTACAGGAATGACCTACGCAAGCCCCTTTCTTTTTGATATTTTGTTACTGCATTTTCTTGTTTCCTTTCACGGTATTTTTTTCTTTTTTTTCCTTTTTTTCTCCACATTGTTTAAAAACATACTTAGCAGATATTTATCTATTCTGCTGGCTGCATCCTGTTCCACTCACTTTGCAGGTTTAATTTTGTAAATTATATTTAGGGACTGAACTATTGAGTTTACTTATTTGCTGATTTGTGTTTACATATGTTGAATTGTGTTTTTAGTTTCTATTATCTCACTCCAAAATATTTACTTCTTTCAATTTTCAATTAAGAAAAAAATAATCGTATATAGTTCTAAACTTGTAGTAAGAATTCCCCTGACAAAAATCCTGACTCTGCCCTGGTTTCAAATTTTAGTCCATCAAATTTGTGCAAAATCAGCTAAACATTTGTCATAACAATTTCTTTTTGTGCACTGCAACAGTTATATACAGTGGCTGGACCAGACTCAACCAATGAAATCAAGTCCGCGGCTGCAATAACAGACTGGCTACCATCAGGACTCCACAAGGTGATTCCAACCCATGTTCAACCAAACCTAACCAAAATTGGACTGTCAGGCCATAGTCGTGGAGGCAAGGCTGCTTTCGCGCTAGCTCTAGGCAAAGTAACAACTCCATCCTTAAAATTTTCAGCCCTAATAGGCATAGACCCTGTTGATGGCATGGACAAAGGGATACACCCCCCCCAGTCCTCACTTACATACCTCATTCCTTTGATCTCGACATGGCGGTTTTAGAGATTGGCTCGGGTTTAGGTGAAGTGAAAAAGAACCCTTTGTTCCCTCCTTGTGCTCCTAAGGGAATCAACCACGAAGATTTTTACAAGGAATGTTGCGAACCAGCTTGTTATTTTGTTGCTAAGGACTATGGTCATGTTGACATGTTAGATGATGAGACAAAGGGGATAAGAGGGAAGACAAGTTATCATTTCGTTCTATTTTATTTTAATGAACCAAAAATAACATAAAAACCAAAATTATTTAGAATTCCATTTTTTAGACATAATTTGAGGCTTAAGGCTCCACTTTGTCCACCTTCTATGCCTAAGGCTTCATTTGGGAAGTGGCTGGCTTTTTGACTTTTTGACTGTTTTGACTGTTTTAGTTATTTTAGCCTGGGGCTACAAAGCTTAGTTTGGGAAGGATTTTTGATTTTTTTGACTTTTTTGTGAGAGAAAGATGTAATAATTATGAGTTTGATGTGATGTTTTGTCTTATTAGGCTAAAAATTCTATTTTATTTTTTGTGACTATTTTAACCAAAAATCCTTCAAATCCAACTTCCCAAACATAGGCTAAGACTACTCATATGAGATTACTGATTCTTGGTACATATCATTTGTACAGATATAAAAAACAGATATAAAAGAAAAAAAAACCGCATTTGATGTGAAGAAATCCAACGAAGAAGATGATCAGCACTACCACGCGATCGTTATCTGCAAGACAAAACACCCTCAGCCGTAGCCGGGGACCCTCCGACGCCCAAGTCAGTCTTTCAATATTATCAAAATATTTAATGGACTAATTTATAGAGAGAAATTGCGTACCTCAGCCCATGAGGGTGTTGTCTATTTATAATATCCAGTAACTTACTTAACAAGTAGTTTGAATGTTCTAGAAGTCGTATCCCAAACAATTTTCGGTTCTGAAGGACTTCTATATCGATAAGATTTCATATCCTAATGAGTTTTGCAAAACATAAAATATTAATGCAGTGTTTGATATGAATTTAATAACTGTCATATACATGATAATCCATAACTATGTCACGCGGCAATGCCTGGATCCACATAACTCTTGTGGTTGTTTTTATTCCCTCTCAATTGCCCCCAAGCTTTCATTCTCTTTGAACCCAGTGAAAAGAGTGAAAGCTTTCTGTTGTTCTGATAAAAATAGCCGAGTAATATTGTCTAACTAGAACCATACATGGGTGCTAGAGCTTATTCCAAAATGCCTAACATTGTTAGGACTTATTTCGAAAATACCTAGCTTTATTCAAACTTATTCTTAGAATGCCTAATCTTGTTAGGACTTATTTCAAAAATGCCTAATCTTATTAGGACTTATTCTGAAAATGCCTAACCTTGTTAGGTCTTATTCCAAGAACGCCTAATCTCGTTAGGACTTACCCAAACACCAACTTGCTTATTGGAAAGCAAAACCCACTTGGCAAGGAATCCCACTGTTGGACAAACCACCAACCTACGCTACAAAATTTTTCAAAGTTTTGCCAAGTAAAACCCGTTCGACAAAGATTTTTCAAGTCGGTCAAACATGCCAACCTACTTTGTTGCGCAAAACCCGTTCTACAAAAATTTTCAAAGTTGGCCAAACCTGCCAACTTACTTCGCCAAGCAAAACCCGCTCGACAAAGATTTTTTAAGTTGGTCAAACCTGCCAACCTACTTTGCTCAACAAAGATTTTCAAAATTGGTCAACCTGCCAATCTACTTCACCAAGCAAAACCTGCTCGATAAAATTTTTTCAAGTTAGTCAAACCTGTCAATCTATTTCACCAAGCAAAACCCGTTCGATAAAGATTTTCAAAATTGGTTAAGCCTGTCAATCTACTTCACCAAGCAAAACCCACTCGACAAAAATTTTTCAAGTTAGTCAAACCTGTCAAATTACTTTGTTCGGCAAAGATTTTCAAAATTGGTCAAACCTGCTAATCTACTTCACCAAGCAAAACCCGCTCGATAAAGATTTTTCAAGTTGGCCAAACCTGCTAACTTATCTCTTGCCCAAACTAGCTTGGCAAAGAGATAAAATTTGTAACCAAAGGGTAGCGTAATTCATATTGCCCCCATGATCCATAAAGCATGAATTCCATCTCAGCATATTTGACCCAAATAATAGTCTTCATCCACGTTTGGTATAAAAACTCATATTTTTCAGATAATAAAAATCTGATAATAATTTAATCTTCCATGTATTCGTGGTTGGAATAATAATGCATAAACTCTATGCTCCATAGATAATCAAAATTCAGCACAATAAAATATCTTCATCCGTAGAGTAATAATGCATAAAATCTATACTCTGCAAATAATAAAAATTCAATATAATATCTTGGCTAGGAAGCCACTGCCTTTTTGTAAGGACTTATAAGTCATGCTTCGATTTATTCGTTATTCAGTCATATTCGGATTCATCTACTCTTTTGCCCCCTGACTTTAGTGTGATGTAATCACGATAGAAGTTTTCATGACTTCGGCAATTTAACTTCCAAAGCTCGGTTGTTGCTTGTCTTCTTATAAGCATATAAAGTAATTTCTTCCCTGTCAATTAGTCTACTTGGGCAATCAGGTGACTCAATTGCCCAATCGGGCCGAGGTTGCTAGGTCCAGTTATTGAGAGGATATTTCTTTCTTGCTTATCGACCATGTAACAAGGAATTTGTGCATATTAATTCAAACTTTATTTGCCAATTGCTTGGTTGGACCAAGCTAAATGCAAATTTGGCTATATCACGCAATGACTATCAATGGGATAATTCTAACCACAAAATTAGATTCTCATGGAAATCTTGACACATACGATACTCATCCAACATCATCAATCTTGTTTTGCCTATGAGGTCCCAAATTATATAATAGGCCAAAACCGTTAATAAAACAAAATATTCTTTCAAAACAGAAAAGAGTGGAAGTAATTTGTCATCAAGCTAATGGTTGGAGTATTATAGTCAAATATCATGTTAACAACAACTTATCTACAGGAGCTTATCTTTTTTTTGAATTCTATCGCTTCCCATAGACGGTGCCAATTGTATGGATATAAAAAAATACCGTATTTGATGATAAAGAAATCCAACGAAGAAGATGATCAGCACTACCACGCAATCGTTATCTACAAGACAAAACACCCCTAGCCGTAACTGGGGGCCCTCCGATGCCCAAGTCAACTTCCAATATTATCAAAATATTTAATAAACTAATTCATAGAGAGGAATTGCATACCTCAACCCATGAGGGTGTTGTCTATTTATAATATCCAGTGACTTACGTAGCAAGTAATTTGAATGTTCTAGAAGTCGTATCCCAAACAATCTCCGGTTGTGAAGAACTTCTATATCGATAAGATTTCATATCCTAATAAGTTTTGCACAACATAAAACACTAATTTAGTGTTTGATAAGAATTTGATAACTGTCATATACATGATAATCCATAACTATGCCACGCGGCAATGCTTAGATCCACACAACTCTTGTGGTTATTTTTATTTCCTCTCAATTCAACTTTTAATTAAAGATTAATGGTGAATTTTAGCAAATATAAATATAATAAAGTATTTAAATAAATCAAATAAAATAGCGACATTTTTCTAGTCTAGTTCCTTGTAGTTGCTTTTCAAATACAATGAACAAATCTAAACAATAGTGTTGGATGATGAATCCCCATCAAGCATTACACTCTTAATTGGTCAACATATATGTTATATTTTGATGTATAATTGTATCGAGTGACCAATGGTTTTGTTTTGATGGAACCAGTTTAACGTTTTTTTAATATAAAATTGTTGCTAAAAAAACTTTTGATTTTTTTTTTTTTTTGTTACAGGAAAATCCTCCCTACCCTCCCGTAGGTCTAAGGTAGCGCCCCTTGCAGAGATCATTAGGATATCCTGTTAGCCGTTCCGAGCGAGAAGACTATAACCTGAGAACTTGTTCCGATCTCACAAGACAAGCTCTGCTTAAGTCAGGACTCGCACAGCGGGAGAACATTAAACCCACACCAAGTGCTGAGGTCCAATCTCCTAACCTCCTGATTAAAAAACTTATGAATTTGACAAATGCTAAACAATACTAACTTTTTTGTAATTGGAAAAAATTTGGTAGGTTGATTATTATTAATTATTTTTTTATCCTTCTAGACTATGATTTGAAAAGTTAAAAAAAAAATTACTGAAAAAAAAATGTTAGATTTTTAGCAGTTATCAAGCATAAATCTATTTCGTTATTTTTTCTCACAATTATCACCTAAAAAAGTCATAGCAAAACGGTTAATTTTTTTAATTATTTTTTTGTTTAGCCAATTGATAATTGTTGTTCAGTCAAGTTCATTTGTACTTGAACAACTTGAAAAGTTGGGCCAGAGCTTGTTCATAAATATAAATGAATGAGTTCTAAATGAACTCAATTCAAATTGTTTATGAACAGTCCATTCATTTTTTGTTCAATAGCTTGCTTGGTTGTGTTTTTTAAAAAACACTTTTCAAAAAATTTAATTTCTTGTTTTCCGTATTTTTTTTATTTTTACTGAATTTTTTTAAATATTTTAAGCAATTTTTTATTTTTTATTTTTTAAACATACTTAACATAAATATACCTAAAAAGTAAAAAATTTGTGAAAAAAAACCTTTTAAAAATTCACTAAATATCAAAAATATAAAAAAATACGAGAATTTAGTACATTTTTTTATATTTTTATGTATTTATTAATTTTTTAAAATATTTTTTCACAATTTTTTTACTTTTTAGATACATCTAAGTAAGGTGCATCTAAAAAAGTAAAAAAAATGTTTAAAATTTTTAAAATATTCACTAAAAATAAAAGAACACGAAAACCAAAAAATTGAGTTTTCAAAAAATTTAATTCAAAAAACTTAAATCAAACACACTGATACGGTAATCAATTCAAACAAACTTAATTAGATTTTAATCAATTCATTTACAATTCTAATCATAATATAAATAGTGAAAAATAAAAATTTATAAATTAATACTTTTTAAACTTCAGTTATATACAATTTAATTAGATTTGATACTTAAATTTTAAAACATGTCATATTAATTTCATATTAAAAAATTTAATTAGATTTTTTTTTGGCTCTCAGATTAGAAACAGGTTGGGATTCAAACAGAAAAAGAGAGAGAGAGAGAGAGTAAGAGGTTCATTAGATGGAGGAGAGAGGACGGAAACACG